CTGATGCAACCAGCCATAACGAGTGTTGTTTTAACGGGTCTGCGTTTTGGCAGGTCTACGTTTTGGGAAGATACCTCAGCAATATATCGGTGGTTTGTAAATAATCTAGCCTGGACCAGGCAATCCAGTGATTGTATGCATGTTATCGTATCCTCTTTGTGTAAATCGATGCTCATGATGACAATCACTAGGTTGTCTGGTCTAGACTCGACTATTTACAGACAGCCTTCATATAGCTGGAATACTTAAATGTCAACAGACACACAGAGTTTATTAGAATATTACCTACGAGTTGCGAGGAATTACGAATGCTCGTTCCGATTGAAGTTTGTAGGTCCCGAAACTTGGCGAAGAACCAATTCTAATAGCTAATATATAATTCTAAGTTACAAGGTGTTTCCTTATATTAACCATGGACTTTTCTTTCTGAAAACAATGTAGAAAGGTGTTTGTTTGTTTGTTCTTTAACGCCGCACTAGGCAATATTCCAGCTGTATGACGGCGGTCTGTAAAAAAATCGAGTCTGGACCAGACAATCCAATGATTGATATCATGAGCAGATGAATGAACAGATGGATGAAAAAGTTAAGCGCCACTTACCAACTATTACCATGTTAAAAAAGATATCCATTCATTAAACTAGTACACTCTATTGAATTGTCAACAAATTGTGATATATTCACACTGAAATACGAAAAGCGAAATCGCTTATTAATGGATATGTTTTGTCAGTGTTCCACGGAAACAGCTACTTGACTATTCCTTCATCTGTTTCTTTGTTTCATACATGATGACTCGGTACTTGTAACCCTTGAAGATCAGAGTTAGTATTGGTCTTCAGCAACCCACGCGTGTCGTGAGAGTTGACGAAATGGTTCGGTGGTCAGGTTCCGTGACTTGGTTGGTTACATGTCATCGTATCCCAACTGCATAGATTAGTGCGCATGTCAATCACTGGATATATGGCTGGAATATTGCTGAGTGCGGCGTTAAATGACAAACTTGCCACCATCTGGATGAACACACAGTGCCCAGGTAACATGGTAGTAGGTATCAAGGTGAGGTGGAATGGGGTTTAACGTCGCGTACAAGATAGATTATTCGCACGTGCGTGCGTGCATGCATGTGTGTGTGTGTGTGTGTGTGTGTGTGTGTGTGTGAGCTTGTACTAGTCCCGACTGGTGCCGATTTATAGTGCTAGCACACTGAGATACCAGTTTCACATGACTACCCCACTCAGACACAGTATACTAACTCCGAGCCGGCCAGACATTGTTTAAGCCCCTTAATGCCGAACACCAGACAGGGTAACAACAAGTACCATCTGTTAACGTCTTTTGGTATGACACGGCCGGGGATCGAACCACGGACCTTCCGCTCCCCGGGCGGACGCTCTACAACTGGACCACGGAGGCGGTCCTCTGGTATCAATGATATCGGACATATTTTTCAAAATGATAGCAATAAAAAATGATATATAGATATTTCTAACGATACAGTTAAGATTAAGATACATGTATATGCAAATAGAAAAGGGCCGCGCTTAAAGCTTTTCAGGTGTATAGTTATGATATGTTCTTAATACTGAAACGTCATTGACAGATGACCAAAATATGATTCATCACCTGTATGTTAGATTATATTGGAGTTCTGTCGTTTCGCCGCGTTACCTGAGTAGTCTCCAAGGATAATTATTCTCAGTGGAAATTTTCAATAAAATGTTTTATGTGTCTGAATTCGTTTTTCTCCATTATCGACCGATAATTGAAATTGGAAGCTTTTAAAAACACCGAATACTTTGGATTAGCCTGCTCCCGTGAAATCTCGTATTGCATTGGAAACAACTCCCATCCAAGTCGTAACTTTTAAACATGTAAGAATATTAAAGTTAACCCTGTCGATGTTAAATATCCGAAAAATAAACTGCACGCAAAGTAACGCTCTGTTGTGATACACATTATTGGGAAATTTATTCATAAGCCGAAATGACCGGAAACGTTAAATTGACAAACACAAAATACACCTCGTAATTGTTCACAAATTCCCCAAACCTACGGTCAGTTGAACGTTAAAGGTTAACGCGGGAAATCAAAAGAACGATCACCTCTTCATGTTTTAAAGTTGTTTTGAGGCGCAGTTCTTAGCCATAAACATGGCAGTGAAACTATGACCCATTCTGACGTTCGTTGATGCGGTGATAGAGCTCTATTCCAAGCTTTCGCCGGCCATATTACAGAATTTGATCGCAGATCAAACGAAGCCTTTGGCTGTAATTTACTGTAGGGAGTATGACGGATGTTTTCATCGGACTCTCGTCATTAAATTCAAGGCCTGTTTTTTTCACAGATGGGAAAAGCGGTACCTGCGGGCATGTAGTTTTGCACTCAACTATTGAATTTCACTGGTTTGATGTTGCGAGGCGATTTGACGTCCAAACGTCGACAGAGACAACAATTTTGTGTTGGTGTTTTTCCCCTCCCGTTTTTATCCAAACTGGAGACACGAAGGTGCGCAATGGCGGCCGATGTATGTGAGACTGATTTCCACGTTATTATCGAAGTCATTTCTTCTCTAAAGCACATGGAATTAGAGTATAACTTTCACCGAATATTTTCACAAGATAGCCTGATTTTTATTATTTCGGCTTGTCGTAGTGTTAACATGTCATTCCTGGAAGTCCCTCGACATTATTTGATAGACACGTCAAAATGACGTTCACGCCACAAAACTGATCATGCCCATCTCCCGCGAGAATTGCCAACATACACGCCTACGGAAGCCCTCCAACACATTTGGCGTTTCCGTCATTTTTGACAGATCATGGACTTATACACGAGGACCAATGAAACAGGCTACACTACCGTATACCGTTAGCTATTTAGGCCATATGAAGCATTATCACTAGCACACAGGGCCTAGATTTCGAAACGTTAATTAAGTTACCCGTGCCTGGATATTCTGCACCACATGCTCTGATATGAAGGCACTGGTATCTGTAAAAACGTGAGTGAGTTGGGTTTAACGCCGCTTTTAACATTATTCCAGTTATATCACGGCGTGTCAGCTTAATGTGGGAGGAAAGCCCGAAGTGATGCAGGTTTCAGACGTTTACCACCTCGGTGAAACCCACGAGCACGGGTATGGAGCTGACAAACCTAGAAACATAATCGGGGCGAACTGGGATTCGAACCAACAATCATAGGTTTCTGGCGTGCCCAAACGACGCAACTATGCAAAGCGAATCGTGGCGCCTTAGACGACTGGGCCACCCGTGCCCCCTGTTAAAACGACCAGAGCAAAGTATAAAATGCGAGTTGTGTAACAATCTTTGTTAGTTTGATCCCCTGATAAAGTCTCTAGATTTGTCGTTAGGTCATACGTGATCGTTATGACGTAGTTTCACATGCTAACGTGAACGTCTTAGATCTGTAGCGAGTTTGTGGGGACATCATCGGTCAGTCTAACTCCATTGTCTGGTGAGAAAAAGGGTATCACATGGCTAGTGAGGTCTAGCTGTGTCTTACTGGAACAAGACTAATCAAGTCTATCAAGGGAAGGCCACCATCACGATGGCAGCCACGTCAATCAAATTATACCTTCGACAAAAATAGGGGAATTGATGAAATTATAGTGAAGAATTAATGACGATATATGTCTGTAATATTAATTTCTGGCGTGTAAAACAAAATTCTAGCGAAAGAACGACATGTTTCGGTAACAGTAAAATGTCTATTCACAATCACCAAATCAGTTCGCCTGTCATGTGTTTTACAGCCCCACATCATGAAACTACCGCCCCCAACCGATCATGGTCAAAATTTGTTGCCCTGGAATACCGCTCGCCGCTACGTCGCCAACAACGCTTTCTGCCATCTGTGAATCGGAGGCAAAACCATGAATCATGTCTAAACATGATGTAACGCAACTGGCGCAAAGCCCGTCCCTAGTGTTACCTAGCCCACCTCAATCTTTGCCGCCAAAGGTAAGTTGTTAGGGTCATACCCTTCACAGGACGCCTTACTTTCCGACGGACTGCTCAGATCTGGTTTGTTACGAAGGATGTTGAAATTCGCCTTCCTGTTATTGTACGGAATTCTCTATTAATAACAGGAGCAGATCTGTATCTATTGCGTATTGCAATTGATGTAATGAGACGATCTTGTCTAGGTGTCGCGTTTTAGTCTTGCCATGCCCAGTTCTCATTGCAGACCCATCCATTTATCGGTACTCATCCCACAGTCGAGAAATTACACTTTTAGATTGCCAAACATTCGGGCAACTTAGGATATTGACGTCCCCCCGCCCCCATCTGTCGTACCCGCAATTCGCCATTTTGTCTGTTCATGGAGATATTGTCTCGGAAGCATTTTAAGCCTGTGTTCCATTCTTAGCTCAATTGCATTTGTGATTGTGAGTTTCCGCGTAGGCGCACACACTTAGGCTTCTGTGTGCTCGTGCATCATATGGTGCTGTTCATGCATGATGTGAAATTTCATTGTGATCAGATTTTGCGCTCAGATGCAACGCCAAGGTATTGTAAATATACACCTCAACATGGTTACATTGAATTCATTATTTCCCTTTCTTTTTTGTTGTAGTATATGTCCCTCTAGACAAACATAAAGTCTATGAAATCTTTTATTACACAATATCCTTCTTGATTCTAAAAAAATGTTTAAAAAAAATTCCCTATGCTGATTTCATAGAGCTAGCTAGAGCTGGCTAGGCTTGCTTTTGTAGGCGTTTCTAGATTATTTATTTTATGAAGAAAAAAAACATATTCCTGTCATGGTGCAGGACTAATGTCCCTCCTAAATAATGACATGCCCGTCAAGAATGTTACAGTTTAATGACTTTCATGTTCACAGTCCAGTATGAATCCTATGAGGCTTAAACCTTCCCTGAGCAATTTTCAAAACTTAAGAGTAATGTCTTATTACTTTTTTTCTAAATAATTCACTAGATCTCTGCAGCGTAAGTTCAATAAAAATACAATTATCTTTGGATGATCAATATTTTATTTTCATTAAACAGATCAGTTATGATTTTCATAAATATATCTGTAAGCACAGTGCTGATGCGGATAGGAATAATACATAATAAATACACTTGTCATTTTTCACATAATTACAAAATGTACATGTATAAAATATATTCTCTTTTGCAAAATATACATAGCATACCTGCACACTGACACGTAACCTAAAAACATCCACACATCATTGAAAAATGATGCTCACAATCAACTGTGATGAACAGCTTTGAAAATATATATTTCAATATTGAGTTAATGGTAACTTCATAAATCCCTGAAATGAATCAATACATTTATCCCAAAAGATAACCAAACGTAAGGCATTGTTTCCAGTCACACTATTAAGTGTGTTACAACAGCACTTTGAACATTACTTCACTCATATCAGCTTAATTAGAGAGTAAAAACCTAGTGTGGAGAGTAATCAGGCTAAATCTTTGAAATGGCTTGGAAAATAAAGAATATGTTAAAAATAATCATACCAATTTCAATATTATAATAATACCATGTCAATTTCCACAAATACAATATCAACATTTCAATACCAACAGAATCATTTAATCTAAAAACACATACACATGTATATGGACATGTCTCCTTGCAAAACAAAAGCTTGAGACAGATGTGACATGAACAGCTGGTCCTAGGATGGAATACTTAAATGGCAAAACAAAATTTATTTTTTGATCTATTACACATACACAATCACTTTATCTGCCATTATCTCAGCCTTTCACCACCATCACCAATATCCATTAAGCCTGTTCTAGTACTCCTAAATCAACATCAGGACAGGGGAAGCAACTGCGACCATGACAGTGCTCAGGTTAATTGTGCAGTTGAGTCCTCCCAATAGCAAGGATTCATATTTCAATGAGGATGGAGATGTAACCATGGCTACATATCTAATATCACAGTTGTACCTTGATAATTACACACTTTAACAAATAATGTTCATAATCACAATACCAAACACATACAAGCATAACATTGGGTATCCACAAGAAACTGGGCCTTGGTCATTTTAATCACGACCTGGTGTGTTCACTTCCTGATTTTGTTGCCTTTTGTATCTTTCAGTTATTTAATAAAACTGATATTCTGAGAATGATCCTGTCTGAAAACACTGCTTCAGTTCCTCACTTGACCTTACAACTATACCTCTAAAAACCATGGGGAAGATATTGGTATAAGACAATCATTGGGGAAAAATGCTGATCACTTTCAATGCAGAGATGAGAATGGATATTTTCCTTTTCAGCTGAAACATCTTTGCAATGGAGCCTGGTCCATAATTTGGGGGTGTTTAGAGGGGAAGCCATCAGATTCTAACAAAATTTGTGGTCACTTAAATTCACGGAAATTCGCGCATCTGCGGAAGATTGTCATCCTTGTCAATGTGAAAAAACACCTTAACACAGAAAATACATTTAACGATGCATAACCGCAACTTCAGTACCACCTTTTCACAACGAAACAATGAAGAAATTATGGAAAAAGATGAAAACTGAACAGAGTAGAGGTGCTTATTTTTGGCAAAAGAAGTGTTTTCTTCATGACTATTTCCAACTATTCTTGTACATGGAGACATATTATCCTTAGTATTTCTTATTGAAACAATGTAACAACCAATCAAAAAACAATCCAGAATAGGATGACATGTGAGATTAATGCTCATTGCTTCACTGAGTCGTCTCAAGCTATGAAACATGATGTTTATCCTGATACTCTAGAAGCTGATACAGTATCAGTCACGGATGTAATGCCTAACCTGTAATCTGATGTTCAGAAGGTAATGAATGCCCTCGTAAATGCCATAATACTCCATGGTGTACACGCTATGGTGTTCAGTCATACAATTCTGTGTCTTCAGATATCATGAGACATACAGAAGCAGCATTAGAAATTGGCACTAGTCCTATAGTCCTTGCCAAACTGCCCAAAAGTTAAGGTATTCCTAAGGACTAGTAGAAATTTCCCCTTTATAAGGGTTTTGCTATGTGTTATCATTATAAGAACTAGTGGGCTAGAACTGCTAGTTTCTAGCACTGCAGAAGGCTTGTTTACATACAGCACTGATCATCTTAACAGGCAGTATGTCCAGGGAGTGGGCACGTGACCGATTAATGCCGAATGCTGGATCTTGAAGCGGTTTTCAACAAAGATACATTAGGCATTCCTCAAAAACATTGGTCTGCTAATAACCTGCCCTATATTTCTTAACATTCATCATACAAAAAAGATACTCAACAAGTTGCTATGGACAGCACAGCACAGCACAGAATGTAATTCTCTCAAAGACAATCAGTCTGACACTTTCTTTGTTATGATCATTGTCCTAGTTGTCAAGTTGGTCAGTTAACAAAACAAAGATGAGCTATTGGCTGGGTTTTGGCAAACAAATTTCCATTGTGTTGTGACCCTGGAAAACCTGGCCAATGATATGAGCTAAGACTAGCCCATCTTAGTTTGACATTGAGGACAACTTTTGGTGTAATGATACTTCAACAACTACCCCCATGCTGGTACATGGTTTGTTTTGTTTGTTTGTTGTTTTACACCACACTCTGCAATATTCCAGCTATATGACAGTGGTCTGTAAATAATCGAGTCTGGACCAAACAATCCAGTGATTGACATCATGAGCATCGATCCACACAATTAAGATACGATGACATGCATTAACAAAGTCAGCGGGCCTGACCACCCGATCCTGTTAGTCGCCTCTTACGACAAGCATAGTCACACATTCAAAGGCTGTACAATACCCCAAATATGGCTCATTCAAACTATTCAAAACTGCATATATCTCGGCTGAACACATTAAACTCAACTAGATAATTTAAGAATACCACCATCATATTGAGATTGCATCTCAACCCTTAAATCATGATATGGATTGTCATTGGTTCGTCAGTAAGTGACTGAGTGGGATAAGATATCCCCATCAGGAGCATCTAAACTCATACATTAGAACACATCGGAGGGTAGAATGTTCCAATCAAACAATATCAAAACATGAACTATGACTAAAAACATTTAGACGTAGGTTGGATGGAGTAGACTCTTATTGTTGGGTCATAAATAGCGAACTCTACTGATCTAACACAGTCATTGTAGAATTAGGCTTCATGCTCGTGGTCGATTCTGTAGCCTGAATTTAGAATACATGCAATACACAAAGGACAGAGGTTCTGTCACAAAACCTGAACTTGATGTTCAGAACAATACAAATGGTTTCATTTACATCAGCACCTATAATCAGCATGACAGAAAATGCTGGAAGATGTTGGACAACCAGATTTCTTAGCACCGAGAATGGAAGCTGAGCAGAAATGATAGAAGGTCAAGAGAACAGCTTGTATCAGCTCAGAAGAGTCGTGTTTTGTACACAGTGCTAATAACACAACAAGTAGTATTCCTGTAGCAAAATTCTAAATGTCAATTCACAAACAAATGCAGGATTTCATATAACATATTGGATGTATCCATGAAAGGCTTGATTGTGAGCCTAATGGACACTTCCAGTTTAGCTGGCCTTGCTACCAGGTAGTGACACCGTTTTTACATTGAGCTTGAGCTTGCCAGGAAGGTGTTAACAACACAATACCATAATACACACTACCCTGACAACCACCTCATAGATGGTCAATACTTTGACTTTGAAACCAGGTTTTGACTAGTGCTGAATAGAACCCCGACACACCTATGGGGGAGTGTCATCATGATGCTTTGTGTAGGCAGGAGTTGGGGACAGGCTCTGTCTTCAGTTGTTGAGGAAGTGATGGGGTGGCAGTGCCAGCCACATTCATACTGGACCTGGAACAGCAGAGACAGCAAGCTTATTGACAATCATCATTGATAATCATTGATGAACATCGTAATAAGTGCAACATAAGAATGACACTGAGCGATACCATACTGCAGTTTTAACATGAATACCCTACTCAGACACAGTGTACAACTCCGAGCCAACCAGTCCTGGTTTTAATCCTTGAGGAGCGCCAAGTCATTTAGGAGTAACTGAAGTTACTATGCTTTGTTGTTTGTTTGTTTGTTTAACATCGCACCCAGCAATATTCCAGCAATGTGACAGCTTCCTGGTAACAACTGAGTATGGGACAGACAATCCAATGTTTGACACATCAGCAATGATCCATGCCGTTGGGGTATGATGACACACAAGTGTGACCACTATCTTCATTAAGTTGGGGGGACCTATTTTAACCCGGAATAACCATGGAGGAAGTTACTAAGCCAGTTATCCATACAAAACATTCATTAATATAACATGAACTTAAAGTATTATGCCATTCTTAATTTTATCAATATGTGTGCACAATTTTTAAGATGACCATTTGGATATTTGCTTCTACCAGCAACATTTGCACCCAGAGATCTGCCACTCATCTCGGCGACCCCCCTGCTCACTGTGGCATGATATTGTGATTTAATATTCTTCATACTCGCTTCATAGATCCACTTTCTTGAAATTAACTCATATACACATCAACTAACAAAGATGGTCTGCATCTCCCACAGCAGCAGTGGATCGAGTGTTCACCCACCTGTTGTGAGTAAGATGGCTCTTCACGAGATGACCAGCGGCCAGTGCAGAGAGTAGGGAGAGTTCTCCAGCCAGGACGGTGGCGCATACAACTCGGGCCAGGGTACGAGCGTTGTCGCCAGGGCAGTTAGATGACCCCTTTACCCCTAGCATCTGAAAACATTATGACATAATGTATTATTATTCATGGTGTTTAACTGTTGTATGCAACTAACATTTGACAACAAACTATCACATGAAGGTTCATATGTATCCATCTGTCAAAGAAGCTATGTGGGACTATCGAACACCAGCCGAGTCCAAGAGCTTTTAGACACTTTAAGCAATATTGCCATAAACTTGTACTACATAGAGAGGGAACTGAATCAGATTCCATGTCTTAATAATTATGAATGATATACTAAATAGAACATGTAGAATGATAGATATTTCAGAGAAACACGTTTTCAAATCTTTAACCAGTATGTAATACCTTAAAAATGTCAGTTTTAGAAGTATGCTGGCTTTGATATTTTGAAGCTATTACTTGTATAGAGTGAGTACAGTTGGATGCTGCATCACCCATATGGGAAGCTAGGATCCTTGTCCCTTGTGATATTGCTTCAAGTACTGGACCACCTCCCCACCTTTCATCAATTAATTCATGATAACTACAGTGGGATTTTATGGTGATTCAATAAAGCTGAGTTATCACTATCCCCCTGCCACGGGGCACACAAGAATTTTGTTTATTCATAAAGTAGTGAACAACATGGAAGTTAATGTGAACTATAAAAAAAGAGTTCTATATATCCTTGAGAAGAGATAGGCCCTGGGGTGGCATTATGTCATGAGAACATCTGATTTTACTTTCCCCATTGCAGACACTATGCACAAAAGAAAAGAAAAAAAGGACATGGATCATGGGACGTACTGTGAAATGAACAAAATCTAGGGATGTAACTCTGGAAAAAACATCACTTACGGCACCAAATTTCGAACTCAGTCTTGACAAATGTCTCTTAGATAAAATGTGCAAACTTTAGTTCATGCAACTTCAGTAATTTCTGAGAAAACTTGTCCCCAATTCAACCAGCATGCACCAAGTTGAAAACACGGAGCAAGGACCATAACATTGTAAATATTTAATTGAAGATAACAATTTTCGAACTCAATCGAGACCGTGACTAGTCACATCAGTGTGTACAATTTCATTTCTCCAACTTAAATAGTTTTTGTCCCCATTGAGAAGCCGACGATGGACCGACAAACTTCGTTCCTCTATCCGGTGGGGGATAATAAACACTAATGTCACTCCCCTGCATATTACCATCAGGTTCATCCTAACCACATCCCATCTTATGGCGAACCCACCTGCAGACAGGCCGACTGGGGAGGAAGGACCGTGCCGCCTCCTACAGTTCCGATCTCTATTGACGGCATGGTGCAGCTTATGTAGAGGTCCTCATGATGTGGGCCTGTTGCTTCAATCAACGTCATGCAGTTGGAGCTGGCCACATTCTGGGCAGGATCCTGCACAAAATAAAATAAGGTTACATGTAAGTTTTCACTTTGCCCTGTGGAGACACAGCACCCCACTGTTGATCCAAAGAGGCTACAAAATGGGATTGGGTGGTCAGGCTCACACCAAACTCAGACACAGTATGCTGACTCTGAGCTGACCACAAGCGTTAGAAATTGGCATTACTCCTATAGTCCTTGCCAAACTGCCCAAAAGTCAAGGTATCATAAGGACAAGTAGAATTTTGCCCTTTTAAAAGGTTTTGCTGTTGTCATTATAAGGACTAGTGGACTAAAACTGTTAGTTTCTACTGCTGACCAGTCCTTGTTTTATCCTCTTAATGCTGAGCGCACAGACTGGGTAACAACAAGTACCATCTTTTAATGTCTTTTGGTATGAGATCGAGCCTTCAGACCATGGAGGCTGTCATGGTCTGTAAGGAGCTGAACTCAGTGACTAATTACCTGTCCTGTGGCAATGAAGATGGCGGTGACGACGTTGGCAGCGTGAGCGTTGAAGCCCCCGATGCTGCCCGACATGGCAGACCCAATCAGGTTCTTAGTGATGTTAAGGTCAACAAGGGCTGGGACAGACGTCTTGAGTAGGTTCTTGACAACATTGCCAGGGACGACGACCTCGCATACAACCGACTTCCCACGGCCTTCAATCCTAGAAATACAACAGTTATGTGTAGAACATGAACTAAATTCATTGTACTTTCCTACAAGTTTCAAATGAGTGAGTCAGTTGGGTTTAAAGCTGCTTTGAACAGTATTTCAGTTATATTATCACATATCATATTAATATGAGTAGGTTCTGTGATGTTTACCAGTACTTAAAACCAACAAGAAAGAGCATGGTGCTGACAAACCAAAACTCATAATATGGGCAAATCTGGCAAATCGAACCCATGACCACAGGATTCTGGCACACCTAGAGATGCAACTCTGCACAGTGAACTGCAGCATCTTCAACAACTTGGCCACCTGTACCCCCAAAGTATCCAGGTCATGCCATAACAAATGCTTCCTCAGGCAAAACCTTTTGTTTAGTGTGAACAAAGTAATGCCTTTCAAAAGTTTTTTTCTGAAGCAGTGGTGCTTGAAAATCAAAATCATGTCACACAAGCAAAACAATCATCATTCAAAAATCATTCTATTCTTCTATTATCATAGCTGCCAACTTTCCCAAATTACAATTCATATTTTGTTATGATCTGGTCATGACATCAAAGCCTGACAATTATGTTGATAATAGTTTCCATTTCGACTACAACAACTTCCGATAATACGAGTGGAGTGTCTCAATTGGACAGTTGCAGAACTATAAATAGACTTCATACCAGTCGATAAACAAGATGCGCTTGCGTTTGTAGCCAATGGGGTAAGACTAAATAATGACCATCTCTTCACTTATTTGTATGAATTAAGGATGAAATCGTAAGTTGCAAATTTTTAACAAATATGAAAAAATACGGTTGGCAACTATGCGTTATCCTTCTATTTTCCTCACCAATTGATAGCCGATGGTTTCTTGTCTGTGCAATAGTTGCCGCTCAAACTGAGAATTTCCACGTCACAAAAGTTTTCACTCAGTATGTTCAAGGCCTTTTCAGCTCCCTGAGGAACATAAATCATGTTGTCAGTTGGAACTAGCACTAAACAGCAACAATCAAACAAAAAGAACTTCATGTCAACCATACACAAGCGTGCCAGCTTCATGTCGCCCGTCCTCAACGTACCTTAGATAGCATGTTCATGCCCATAGCATCTCCAGTCTTGGCCACAAACCTCACATACAACAAGCGTCCGGCCTGGGCGATCTGAAGTCTCTGCAGACGAGCAAACCTAGAACATAAAACCACAGTGAGCAAATAACATACTATGTTAGTCTAGGAATGTAATAATTTCCATATGAGGAAACTTTACATTGTGTGTATGTGTGTTGTTTAATTCCACACCTAGCAATATTCCAGCTATGTGGTGGCGGCCTGTAAATAATGAAGTCTGGACCAGACAATCCAGTGATTGGTATTGTGAGCAATGGTCCACACCATCAGTGTACAAGGACACGCCATCTATTAAGTCCTCGAGCCTGACATCGCAATCCATTTGGTTGCCTCTTATGACCAATTCTTACCACTGGATAACAGAGTGAGTTGGGTTTAACGCCGCTTTTAACATTATTCCAGTTATATCATGGCATGTCAACTTGATGTGGGAGGAAAGCCCGAAGTGATGCAGGTCCCAGATGTTTACCACTTTGGTGAAATCCACAAGTACGGGCATGGTGCTGACAAACCTAGAATCATAATCAAGGCGAACCGGGATTCGAACCCATGATCATAGGTTTCTGGTGTGCCCAAGGGACGCAACTCTGCACAGCGAATTGCGCCGCCTTAGACGACTGGGCTACATCTGCTCCCCAAAAGACAACAGAGGACAAGAACAGCTTCCAACGTCCAAATGTTCAGAATCCAACCAATATGGCGAGCAGAGAACAAGATTACCTCCATGCCTGACTTTGTATACGAGATGAAAGAGTAAGTGTTGGTTAATGCCGGTCAGAAATTCCAAGCAATATTTTGATGGCTTCACATTGTCCATTCAGGGACAGACAAACCAATGATTGATACAGCAATATCCAAGCTGCCCAGGTATTATGAAATGCAATGTACCAGCCAAGCCGGCCATCACGACCCTATAAGCTATCTCTTACAAGCTTACATTTCTAAGGCTATTCTAATCCATGTCCCTACTGAGGTATATCAAGGAGAGACATGAGTTTTTTTGTTTCTTTGTTGTTTAATTGTGCACTCAGCAATATCCCAGCTATATGAAGGTGGTCTGTAAATAATCTATGCAATTGGGATACGATGACATGCATCAAATAATGGTGGCCTGTGAGAAACTATCACGCAATCTTACACAAGGATACGCCATAAGCCAGGTCACCAAGCCTGACCACCATATTGTCTTGGGATACTGGGTACATATTCTAAATGAATCATCAGTAAGAACTGTTTACCTGCTTGTAAGATCAAAAGCTTCCTTGATGAGCTCAAAATTCTCCTTGTCCTCCATCCAAAGTTTCACCTCACTGTGGAAATATATTAGCAATAAGACACAGAGACATAGTTGCAAATAAACTGGACGTTGTTTACTAAGCTTGCTCTTTCTTTACCATTGAACAAAGTGCTGGACAAACATCTGTTGGGTATATTCAATCCACATACTCAGTTTCAACAAAAGACATTCTAAAACGTATTTACTGACTTTGACTGCTGCCAGCTTGTTCTACTAATGAGTGAGTGAATGTAGATTAAGATGTAGTAGCAATATTTCAGCTTAACCACAATGGACTGTGTCTGGTCCATACAAACTTGACTAACATATAGTCTATGAAATCTTTTATTACATTTCTATTAATACATTTCTCTCCTCTAACATAAAAACAAATAATTTTCCTGATGCTGATTTCATATGTGCTGGCTCGAGTGAGTAAGACTTGCTTTTATATATATATCTAGATTAGTTTTGTTATCATAAAATACATATATTCCACAGTCATGGTGCAGGACAACAGTTGGTTGGTTGGTTTGTTGTTTAACACTGCACTCAGCAATATTCGAGCTATATGACGGCGGTCTGTAAATAATCGGGTCTGGACCAGACAATCCAGTGATTGATATCATGAGCATCAATCCAAGCAATTGGGATCGATGACCGTGCATCAACCACGTCAGCAAGTCTGACCACCCAATCCTGTTAGTCGCCTTTTACAGCAAGCATGGGTTGCTGAAGACCTATTTTACCCCGAATCTTCACGGGTCCACAGACAAGCCAGTGGATCATCACTTGAGCAATAACCCATGCTGCTAGGATATCAAAGCTCCCATTCAACAAAGTCATGGAGCCTACCTGATCAAAAACAGATACCAAATACGACTAGCCATAGTCTGAGTTGGGGAACATGACTATATGACACTTTCTATGGATAGTAACTTCTTTTTGGGGGGTCACAATGTTTCAAAGCTACTTTTTGCTGCTTCATCAGGTGAATGCACACAATGGAATGTACTGTAAGTGGCTAATCTTGTCAGTAATCATGACAGTTTGAGAGAATGGAAGACATGGTTTAAGAAGAGTTTCAAAATGTATGGCTTGCTAATGCATGTAACATGCTTCCTATTTGCCACAACATCAACATCAACATCAACATCAACAATGCATTCACCTGATGAAGGAGCAAGAAGTAGCTCTATAACATCGTGACAAAGACAAAGAAGTTGCTATCCATAAAAAGTGTCATGTATTCAAGCGATAGACTGTTGGATAGGTGTTCTAACTCAAGTCTCCATATGGCTGACCTACTACTGACCTTGCTCTCTTGGCAGTAGGGAATCGGATGGCAGGTGCACGGGTCATGCCTTCATTGATGACCATGCTGTGGGCTCCTCCGCTTTGCTGTAAACAATCAGATTCAGGCTTGAAGTCTTGGGTCTACTGTGGCAGTAGAGACTTGTAAATTTGTAGTAATTGTCAGTGCCAGTAAATGATTGAAGCACTAGTAACATATCTGGCAAGAAATGACTGAAAGTGTCCACTGGTTGTTGTACACAAACATGGTAGGCATAGATCATCAAGTTTTGGGCTGGCTGTACCTACATAAAAGCAACACAAGGGTGAATCAAAACCTTTTTCGACCTGACTTGTGTCTGAGCTACTTGCCCAGTGTGGATTGTCTACCATCTGAATACATGCAGCGCACCAACATATCATAGAGCTTGCTACTTATTGCTGCTGTCCACGTACTCCACCCATTGTATTGCTGTTTTCATGGTGTACCTTAAACTGTGTGTTCCAATATAATTTTCTCATCATTCACTGATATTGTTAGTCATTTACTGATTTCACACTATATTTCTGTATGTACCGATATCTAGGTTAACCATTCAAGTTGAAAATCACCTCACAACACAACACACAGTGTCAGTGACAACATTTATTAACTTGACATGTCTAAATAACACTTTTCTTGGAGTTACTCACTTCAATTGCTCGACAACCTCTGTTAGTGCTGGCAACCAGACATCCTTCCGTTGTTGCCATGGGAACCTGGTACTTGACGCCATCCAGGAGCAGTGGTCCTGCGACACCCACTGGTAAAGGCATGTAGCCGATCACATTCTCACAGCAGGCTCCGTCCACCTGGGCAAACATTCACACATATATTGCAATATCTTTGGTAATAACACAATCAAGACATTACTTAATTTCAAGAATCGCAAAGCCAATATTTTTTTCAAGTAAACAAGAAATATTACAGAGCAAATACAAATTTCATATTATTTTCTCATGCTTAGCTATGAAAAAACAATGAAAACTTAATCAAATCATATTCTTACATATTTATAATCATAGTGTTCATATGGTAGTTTCTCCAAAGCATCAGAGGCAGCAAGTTTTTCCGAAACCATCCGTCGTCTGGAATATCAACAAAACATAATGACAATACTACACCACAGAATACTCTACTGTACACTGGAAATCAGATCCACAAAACATGATCATAATCAAAGGTGGGTGATAATAACTACAACCCCCCCCCCCCCCCCTTCCCACACACACACACATCCTGCACACACAATATTCCTGCAGCCTGACATAATAGAGTCTTGACCAGATAAACCAGTGACTGATATTATGACCAATGATCCACACTGTCAGGGTACAATGACACTCGATCATCACTTAGTCACCTAGTCTGACCACCCAATCAGCTTGTATAGCATAGATTGCTAGGAACCAATTCTAACCCAAATCGCATGAGGTCAGGCTGCACTGATCAAGGGTTTGACACTGCAGTATGAGACTTCACCAGCTAACTCTGATATTGTTGAGCAGAAGCCATGTCTCTGAACAGTGTATAGTTTCTTTGTTGGTTGTTTAATATGCTGCATTCAACAACATTCCAGCTATTTCATGGCAGTCTGAGACCAGATAATCCAATGATCAATATTGTGAGCAACAATCTATGCCATCACGGTAAGATGATAATCAACAAGTCGCAGAGTCTGACCACCCGAGAACAATGTATATATTGTTGTGGATAGTCGTCATACTGTACATAATGGACACGTGGTTCAGACAATGGTGAGCCTACCTGATGGCGACGCCCCTGACATGGTCCTGCAACACAGTCTCCAGCTTGTAGGCCGGGATGTGCTTCCTCTCCACCAGCAGCTGGATCTCCGCATCAGACAGCACCCCAGGGCCCTCCTACAACAGAGCCAGTGTCTGCTGTATACCAGTGGCAAATATATTTATTATGCTTATATTTTCTGTCAATTCCATCAGCTCCAATTTGTAGCAAAATTAAAGCATTAAGAACTGGTTCAGAATTATAACCCTCAAATGTTACTAGTCAATGTACTTGTCATAAGCACAATTTAGTCTTGGGACAGTTGACTTGCATGTTTTTGAAAGCCGAAAACCTCTGTCAGATTTAACCATTATCCTGATTATTGTAATTGTGAGATGATGTCAGCAGATCACACTGGTTGCATGCGAGTTGCCATTACAAGATGCCGTCTTCATGGTCAATACAGAGCTTGAGCCACCAAATGTCGAGCTACAATTACGAGGCAATTATCACGTTTTCAAAGGCTCAAGTTAGGCCTCTGTATGCCTTAAAATGTATTTTTTTTCATTGTCCAAAGAGCTCCATGTGACACAGTGAACAATGGTTGCCAAGGTTAAGGTATTTTAAGGTATGACAATGATGATATGGGCACACTTTGGCCAACAGGATCTACATAACTTCAGAAATGAGAAAAAAATTGCAAATCATAAAGAAAGTTTTAGATGTGTTCATATGAATTTTGGGCAGTGTTTCTCTAGAACTTAAACATTATTTTGTTTATACAAGCTGATTTTCTAAGGAAATGTAGATAAAAACAGTACAAAAATATGGAAAAACAAAACATTCATTAAATGAGAAAGTATGTTATTTATGTTAAAGTCAGCGGTATTCAAGTCCTATCACACAAGTGTGTGGTGAATCTAGCCTGGACCAGGGAAACCAGTGAGTGATAGCTCGAGCTCCGTCCAGGCAGTCACCAGTATTCAAGTCCTGTCACACAAGTGTGTGGTGAATCTAGCCTGGACCAGGGAAACCAGTGAGTGATAGCTCGAGCTCCATCCAGGCAGTCACCAGTATTCAAGTCCTGTCACACAAGTGTGTGGGGAATCTAGTCTGGACCAGGGAAACCAGTGAGTGATAGCTCGAGCTCCGTCCAGGCAGTCAGCAGTATTCAAGTCCTATCACACAAGTGTGTGGTGAATCTAGCCTGGACCAGTGAAACCAGTGAGTGATAGCTCGAGCTCCGTCCAGGCAGTCACCAGTATTCAAGTCCTGTCACACGAGTGTGTGGTGAATCTAGTCTGGACCAAGGAAACCAGTGAGTGATAGCTCGAGCTCCGTCCAGGCAGTCAGCAGTATTCAAGTCCTATCACACAAGTGTGTGGTGAATCTAGCCTGGACCAGGGAAACCAGTGAGTGATAGCTCGAGCTCCGTCCAGGCAGTCACCAGTATTCAAGTCCTGTCACACAAGTGTGTGGGGAATCTAGTCTGGACCAGGGAAACCAGTGAGTGATAGCTCGAGCTCCGTCCAGGCAGTCAGCAGTATTCAAGTCCTATCACACAAGTGTGTGGTGAATCTAGCCTGGACCAGGGAAACCAGTGAGTGATAGCTCGAGCTCCGTCCAGGCAGTCAGCAGTATTCAAGTCCTATCACACAAGTCTGTGGTGAATCTAGCCTGGACCAGGGAAACCAGTGAGTGATAGCTCGAGCTCCGTCCAGGCAGTCAGCAGTATTCAAGTCATCTTCTGGAGACAAGGGAGTTAAGGGATTGTAGCGCCACCAGTGGCTATTATGAGTGATGTCCCTTCTATGTCTCTTCTAATGACCAATCGGGCCTCATCTTTCATATCACTTGCATTTGCTTCAAGCAAAATTCAAGTCAAGGCACCTTGATTAAAAACATACAAATATTTGGAAAATATCTGTCAACGCCGAGTTGACGGTACACATGCTATACAAATCCTGCAATCGACTGAAATCTGCACGAGAGTTTATGAACCTGATGTTGATTTTGTTACATGATTTTGATTGGACTATGCATAGACTTATTAGTCCAGCCAAGTATAACTCCATATTTCCAGCCTAGTTCGGCAAGGGAGGAAACTGGACTTTTATAGTCAGTTAACTCCCTTGCCTCAGGAAGGTGTATTCAAGTCCTATCACACAAGTGTGTGGGTAATCTAGCCTGGACCAGAGAAACCACAAGCTCCGTCCACTGTCAAGGTACAATGACCAAACAGGTTACACATGTAGTACAGCCACCCAACCCCCTCATTATATTCAGCATTATCACGACAAGGTTGGGGATATGGCTACTTGTTCTCATCAGAATTGCCCCTGGGCTCTCACATAGAATACTTACATCTGACTTCATGATTGATACACAGTCCTCCAGACGGCGAGGCTGCTTGGGTTTCAGCAGCAGCTGGAGCGGCTTGAATGCTTCATCATCCACCTCCGTCTGAGTTGACTTGTCTTCCTTCTCATCATCGGAGCTGTCATCATATTCCCCGATGATGAAGGATGCACCTGGTTTGAACGTATTACTGACTTGTCCATTAGTCACTCCTTCAATAGCTGGAATTCACAAAACCAAACATGATAATCATGGCATACTCCAAGAACTTCTATCAACATCGGAAGACAAATCACAAGATGTGCCTAAATCTCCAAGAGATTTCTAAAATATCCATGTCGTAAAACAACCCTGAACAATCCTCAAACTTGTAAAATAGCCCAATAACTGTTTAATAATGAATGCTTAATTTGAATCTGGGCACCATAGACATAATTCAGTTTACTCAATCAAGCATGTCTGAAGAGAAGTCGGAGAGTACTGAATGATGGACAACACGCTGGGACAATAAAGATAACAAAACAGAAAGTAAGCTACATTTGGAAAATCGGTGACAGGTATTAAAACATGAAAAATCTCAAGCTATAAGGGGTGTAAAGGTGTTTACAAAACGCAAGAGAACATTACAATGACATTAAAATCAGAAGTTTTCCTTTGATGTGTTACATCTGTGTGTAGAGATTCTCAATATAAGGTCACATCAGGTGAACCTGGAGTTCTGGAGCCAATATGTCAGCTTTCAAAAACAACTGAACTTCAATTCATTACAAACTCGATTTGGAAATTTTGATCTCAGCAAAATAAAAACCTCCACAGAACAGATACATATGCTGGATGAAACCCTTTTGGGTGGATGCCATGGTGCTCAGAAACAACATGTATGAAACATCCACAACAATGCATAAAATATCCACTGCTTTATGTTTTTGGAACATCCTGACCATATTCATATTTTTGAGATAATGAAATCAGATACTCAGATAAATCCTGAAATTATTGGATCACCAAATCAATCGACATCTGTCCTAAAATGCATCATGAAATTAATGCGAGTTGCTTTGCCTTTGAACTATAAAACTTGAGAAACTAGTAAACTAGTGAACTTGAGATGACAATATACTCCAAAATGTCCAGATGAAAAAGCGTAAGAATTAATATGAACAAGAGACACTCATATTTTTCAATTAAGTTCATGATCAATTTAATTCCATGATTCACAGTATGCTTGTCAGAATGCATTGCTCACTCATATTAATACTTAAGAAGCCTCAATACTGACTGGCATATCTAAAGGTTACCTGACACAACCTCCTATGGATGTGTCCTCAGACCATCATCCACAGAGGAACCGTATTGGAGCCAATCATTGGATTTTAATGCAAAAGAAGAATATTACACTCTTCATTTTCACAACTAACTCTCATCAAAATAATGACAAGTACTTCAGTATCTGTACACACCCTCTGTCTGTGAGTCACTGGTGGTATTGGTGGTATTGGTGGTATTGGTGCCAATGTCAGCCACTATCTTCTCAGGCGAGGCTGTCTTCAGCATATCATCCACCTCACGATCAACGTCAGTGTCCATGAATATATACTTGCATGTGAGGACGATTGCCAAAACCAGTGTCATTGCATAATCAGCTCTTCCCAAAAACATTCTGAAACATTAAATTTGTCAACATTGCAAGCTGTAACTTAGAATGTATACCAAACAATTTCATCACAGCTCCTTTGTTTGGAATCTAGCTGGCCCTTGATGTGACTGTTATTCTGAACTTCGATAACATGGTTAATAACTAATCACATCCAATTTGATCTCATTAAAACTATACTAAAAAATGTCAAAGTGATTTGACAGCAACGATCTAGATAATTTCATGCAATACATATAACATACACGTGATATAGGCAATATCATAATAACGTATGTCAGTGTGAAATGAGCTTTCACGTTGCATTCAAGACTATATCACTTACATAACCAAGTCAGCGAGCCTGACCACGTGATCCCGTTAGTCACCTCTTACAACAAGCATAGTTGCCTTTTACGACAAGCATAGTCGCCTTTTATGGCAAGCATGGGCTGCTGAAGACCTATTCTTCTCTGGATCTTCACGGATCTCGTTGCTTGTGCCAGTCTTGACTTATGATGGTTTAATCGCGCTAGCCCAACTTAGACACAGTATACTGTCTCCGAGCGAGCTGGTCCTTGTTTTTCTCAACTTAATGCCTGTCATCAGGCAGGGCAACAACAAGTACAATCTATCAATGTCTTTCGGCATGACGCAGCCAGTGGATCAAACCACCAACCTTCTACTTTCGGGGCAGATGCTCTATCCACTACACAACAGATGGAATTATGAAGAAATAATGTATCAGAATTCTGTGAGCACATATAAAGAGATACAATAACAGGGAAAGTTCATACAAAGTTTCATTGTTACAAGATGATTGAATTGAACAGTTTCTGATTCAACGTAATTGTTTGAATGAGATGGCTTGGTTAAGAACAATTTTGAACTTGAAACAGGCATGTTGAATTGACAGTGGACACTTCAAAATAATAAATGGTATTCAAATTGCACATCACCACGACGTAATTATGGGGGATCTCAGACAGTTAATGTCAGTACGCATACACAGCCAAGAACGAGGGGAGAGAGCAAATAGCAGGAGTGAGTGAGTGAGTGAGTTTGATTTTATGCCGCTTTTAGCATTATTCCAGCAATATCACGGTGGGGGACACCAGAAATGAGCTTCACACATTGTACCCATGTCGGGAATAGAACCCGGGTCTTCGGCGTGACGAGCGAACGCTTTTTAACCACTAGGCTACCCGACCGCCCCTCAAATAGCAGGAGATAGTGGAGGTGGCAAAATACAAACCTACAACGGATGAGGAGAGGGAAGAAGAGGGTCCAGGCTTGACTGTTGCAGTATCTCACTCATGTACATATTACCTGGTACATAAATATTTGCATTCTGAGTCAGCTGATTGGGCAAATGTATAAGGGTGTAGGTGTAGGAAGGAAGTGGGGACCAGGGGTCTGTAGAAGAAGACGTGTAATATCAAAGAAGCAGTTCAAGACTACACAATCTGACCTACTCACCGCTGAACATAGAACTGCCACAGTGGCACATCAGGGTTGATTCTCTGGTCCATCAAAGCCTTCTCTGCTGGGGTCATGACTGAGGTCATCTGAGGGTCAGCGTTGTCCGTTGCGGCCACCCACCGACTGTGGGCATGTACGAGCACCAACCCCGCAGACTTGGTAAAATACAAGAGAAGAAATGTCTGAACTTGTGACAATTTAACTCTCAATTGCACTATAATTATAACTTAAACCCATTTAAATCAAATGAGACTTCAAAACAAAATAGCACGAGGTCACATTGTCATGACACACTATGAGAGGTTACCATGGTTAATATTGATTGTGTGATCAGCTACAGACTGGGAAGAGATGGCTTGTTTTTCATTACGAATAACTTTTATTTTTGTTATTTGTTAAATGCACACCTTAGATATAAAGATGACATTTCATACTGGGAAGGTGTTGCTTGAATGGCCTCAAATGACTGCCAATTAAGCCTGAGCTAGGTCCTCCTTTGATATTTCTATGTACAATAGAGTTTTCCTTTTCATGATGGCTACATACCACTTAAAATATTGAGCATCATCCATTTCTTTCATATTATATAGTTAATCTGTCCTGACTTTTTATGAGTAGTATAGGATGGAATCGTGTATGAGCACTACCATCCTCACCATGATGATTTTGACTCTCTGGGTGACGGGGTTGGGCTTGGTCTCCTCCTCCTCCTGCTGCAGGATCTGGGCCAGCTGCCGCAGCTGCCACATGGGACGGCCGTGATTACGTACCCTTGTCAGCTACAACACACGGTGGCAGTCACAGAAACATGGTCGTCTGTACTGTTGTGAACGTGGGGGCATATATTCTTCATTGTGTTTGTTTTTTTGCTCATTTGTTGTTTAAAGCTGCACTCGGCAATATTCCAGCTATACGATGGCAGTCAGTAAATACTTGTGTCTGGACCACACATTCCAGTGATTGACAACACGATCATCGACCTATGCAATTGGGATAACTTGACATGCATCAACCAAGTCAGCGAGTCTGACCACCCGATTGTTTGTCGTCTCTTAGGACAAGCACTGTCTGCTGAAGACACAGGGGCTCAACAATGCACAACAATGCTTCTGTAATTAATAATAACTCTGCAGTGTTTGAAGTTAAACATGAAAGTCAGTGGGTCAGTGCCAGATTTAACTGGTCCCTAGTGGAAGACGTAGATTTAAATGCCACGGGAGAAGATCTCCAGGACCCACCATGCAAATTTTGAACACTGCTTGGGATTCATGCTTCCTAAAATAAAGTTTAAATCTTTTATCCAAAAAGTTCAAACTAATACTCTTCATAAACAAATTAAAAAGAATTCCACCACAGAACTCAAACGAAATTAAAAGAACATGTACATGCTGAATATATGAAAAATATAGGGGGGTGATAGCTATGACAGTCAAACTACTCTCTTTCAGGAAGTCCAAGACTTTGTTGTCTTACCTCTAGGACCAGTGCCAGACAGGCCGGGTAGAAGGTCATGAAGGCAAGGTAGTTAGCCATGACAGATAGACAGCCAAAACAGCACATGGTCTCCAGTTGACGAACACCTGAAACAACATGAGTTACTGCATGTACTGAGGATGAAATATGTCCGCTTTGAAATCATTGCTGGGGGTGGTGCAGAAGTATTTTGAGACTAACCATGTATATGTTTTAAGGAAAGTTTGTCAGCATTTCATGTCTGTTTTAGTTACTGGTGTCAGCTTTGGTACTTAACAATGACATAAAAAAATATCATAGATGAGAAAGTAAAAAGAGGTTCTCTCCAGGAGTAAGTTAGTTATACATGTACAGTATTTTGTGGTCCCCCAATTTGCCATCAGTTATGTTTGTGAAACATTCTCGGCTCAATGTTGAAAAAGATTTTATATCTTTTATTTTTATAAATCATATTTTCACTCTTAACATGGTAAAGATATTTAAGATTTGTACAAGTTTGTTTGTCTTCTTGAGTGTGTTGGGATTAATGTTGCTTTTGTGTATTTCAGTTCTCAGCTTAAAGTGTGAAGAAGAATATAAAGTGAAGCAGGAGATAAATGTTTATTCACTCTGGTACAATCACTGAGCATGGGTTCGGTGCCGACATAGACTGGCGCTAATCACGGCAACTCAGAGATGTAAACAGGCCAGAGGATCCTGGCACACCCATGTGATTGAGACCACCTAGACCCCCTTTTTTAAATAAAGAGGTAATCTTACTATGTATCATGTTAAATTGTGTTCAACTTTTGGAACCGAACATGTTCAATTTTCACATGAGTAAGTGAGTGAGTATGGTTTTACGCCGCTTTTAGCAATATTCCAGCAATATCATGGCGGGGAACACCAGAAACATCACACATTGTACCCATGTCGGGAATAGAAACCTGGGTCTTCGAAGAGCGAATGCTTTAACCACTAGGCTACCCGACCGCCCCAATTTGTTTCACATGAACCCATTCACTGACCAATTCCAGGAACATCACTGGATGCAGCTAAGCTCACCTGATAGTGTCCCTACACCAATAACCAGAGTTTCCACAATGGCATCCAGGGTGATGGATGGACCAATGAGGGCCATGCCTTTAGCGATGTTCTCTCTCACTTCATCCTGTGTGGAGGAGTTGAGGGCGAAGCGAGCCAGGGCACTCGCCTTAGAGAGGTCAATCAACAGCAAGAAAAATGGCAGAGCCTCACTGGAGAAGAAAAAAAGAGAGGAGTTAATTAGCAAAACTTCCAACAAGACTTAGTTGTTAACAATGTTAACTAGTAATTGTTATGCACAGTGTCATGAAACCCTAGACGATCCGATATTGGTATAATTTACATATGTAGACTGATCACGCTGATTTTTCAGTGTAAGATAAAAAACACACACAAAAGAATACCTGCTGCAAGTGTGACATGTTTTTATCAATTCTAATTTCACAACATTAACAAAATAAACCAGGGGTATCCACATTCATTATCAACTGAATACTTACTCAAGTCCTTTCAGGTTGTTGCCAAGGAGGTTGATGATGGCAACGCTGAACACGAAGCTTGAGAAGATGGTGAAAACTCCAGATATACCTGAATAAGGGAGACAACTCTACATCAACCTACACCAGTACTACACCACACTAAGAAGAAAGACATACAATTCTAAGAACTGCACATGAAGGACCATGTACACATGATGTACACATGATACATATTACCTTTTTATCACATTTGAAATAATTATTAGAATCATGGATCTGTTATCATGGCTATTTAACTTCAATAAGCCTTGCTTGTTCCCATTAATGCTTAATTTACATTTACACAATCATGTCAATACAATGCACAAACATGTTAAGATTATCCAGTGCACAGCATGATTATTATGATTACTTGAAATGGATATTATGAAGTATGATAACTCAGAAACATATTTCTGATAATGAGTTTTGTCCTGCTAAGGAATATACATATGGGGAAGGCTACAAGCCAAGGTGCCACCTGGTTGTTTTTGAGTTCTAGTGGATCCATAATCTACAATGTCATCCCTCCAAAGTAACATAATAATTACCAGGAAAGTTTCAAAACTGACGACGCAGGGATTTATCAATGACATTTCTTTTCACTTATACAGCACTAGAAATTGGCACTAGTGCTATAGACCTTGCCAAACTGCCCAATAGTTAAGGTATCATAAGGACAAGTAGAAATGTGCCATTCCTAAGAGTTTTGCTATATGTTATCATTATAACGACTAGGGGACTAAAACTGTTAGTTTCTACCGCTGCTCATATAGCACACAACAATTAATCATTCAATAAATGGTATCTCCTAAACGGTGATCGTCCGTGTGGTCACTTTACTAGTAGCCTTCCCCTTATTACTAAGAGAGAGACAGACAGTGAGAGACAGTGACAGTGGCAGGTAACAGATAAAGCATGCAGATCATTACCCAAAGCTCACACACAACACACAGATGGACATATCTGACCTGGTTTTCAATGATTAGTGCAAAACAAATTTGACAAGTTAATCTACATAGTTTTCTATCTGCAAAGGCCAACTGACTATTTTGACTATAAACATGATAAACATGAAAATAAGCCAAATTTCTAACAACAAAGGCTCAACACCAAAACACTTGTTCTCAGGCAATAATTCCAAGTATTTACACTAAGTTTACAGTATGCAACCTTATTGTTATAGAAGCATGTTTCTTTAGCATCACAATTCTTTTTAAAAAGATAAGTATACTGCGTTTTCAATTATATCTACATCTAACCTAGCTCTATATTTGAAAATACAGTATGTTTATCTCCATTCTACCATGACAGTATTTAACAACATTTCTTTGGGGCTTAACAAAGATATCGAGTGATGCATAGGTTGTAGTTCTATCATGTTTTCTAAAAAAATTTACTTCCACATGCATACTTAGAATATTTTGTAGCCTATATTATTACTCATAGGGTAAGAACTATCCGAGTTCATAAAAATCATATGTGCACCAGTGTATTGTCTACGTCATCCGGACGGCATTGTTGACATAATTCCAATTGTTTTGTGACATAAGGTCGGAACGATGTCACACTAGAAGTGACGTCATAGCTGAAGACTTTTAACGTCGACCAATTGGTGTTTTCTAGGATGGCGGTCATGATCAATGCAGTTTTTCTAAAGGGGCGCTCAAAACGATGTAGAAATAATGGGAAATAATACAGCATTTTGTAACCTATAATCATGATAACAGTGCATACTTTTATTTCAAATTGCCTACCAACAGTAACTGAAGTACTTTTCTATAAATATTAGCTTGCGCGATGATGTGGCCATGAAATCAGAGGTAGTAATTGTGACTTGAAACCTCTGATTTTGAACATTTTAAAAATTTATGGTAGAATGTCTGTATAACCATATTAACCAGGTTAACACAAACAGCAGACACGTGGTTTGTTTCTGATGGGGTATGCCTGAGAACCAACAACAACGTTTTAGCCTAACATGGGTTTCATTGACCACCAGGCATTCATGTACCACATGTACAGACAACACAACCAGATCAACATGAAGGCAACATCTGCATGTGAAGGTATAGAAAAGGGCAGGAAAGAAAGAATATTTCAGAACGCAGTGGACTCTCTGTTCAAACCAACCAATTCAGTAATCGAACATGTCCAACATGACATCAACCTTATTGTCATCTAATTTGGCACTAACAATCATTCTAATAATGCTAAACAGACATATTAATAAATGCTAATAGAAATCATTATCTTTCTCAACATACTCAAACATCACATGGAACTATCTTTTTATCCTGACAACCAAATATCCACTGACATCAAGCATAGTTATTTGCAGCAGTCTATGCATTATTTGCGAGAGGATCATAAACCGAAATCAACATGATTAAACATGCTACCAACTTATGCTCATATCATGATATCTCACTAAATCTAACAGAATAGTGAGTGGGTATGGTTTTACCCCTCTTTTAGCAATATTCCAGCAATATCACGGCGGGGGTCACCAGAAATGGGCTTCACACATTGTACCCATGTCGGGAATCTAACCTGGGTCTTCGGCGTGACGAGCGAACGCTTTAACCACTAGGCTACCCAACCGCCCCTCTAACAGAATAGTTTGGAGCAACGAAGCAAGACTCTTTTTGTGTAGTCGTATACTTGTGCTAAAACAGCTCCATCAACATATTCTGGGCACATGATATATGTTTTGAGTGAGTGAATGTTGGTCAAGTTGCATGCAACGTTCAGCAATAACAACTATTCCAGCTGAATCATAGTAGCATGTAGACTGTGGGCCAGACAAACCCACAGTTAATAGCATAATGAATGATTGAGGTACAATGACAAATTGTTTGTTTGTTGTTTAACGCCGGAATCCGCAATATTACAGAAACATGATGGTGACCACTGACCAGTAAATAAATGAGTCTGGACCAGGCGATAATCCAGTGACTGATATTGTGAGCAGCGATCCACGCTGTTGGTTACGATGACATACTATCAACCATGTCACTGAGCCTGACCTTCCGATCCATGTGCTCACCTCTTACAACTAGGTTGCTAGGGACCTATTCTAACCCAGAATTCCTTCTTATGACAAGCATGGCATACCTGGGAGTGGGAATTCTTTTGATTTGGAATCCCCACAAGAATAGAGAGTCCACTATGAACTGAGCTGAGGTGAGAGGGTGTGATGCCTGCCATGCTGTTAAACTCAGATATAGATCTACAAGATATTTCACTACTGCAGTAAGCATTTTGATCAAATTTGTGTCTTATCTAATTTGAGAAAACAGGATAAGCAAATTAAAATCGAAATACTTTGCCAAGAAAAAAATTACCTAAAAAAATACAATCCAATTGTGATAAGCAAAATCAAGACAATATACAACATAAAGATAAAAAAAAATTCTTCAAAGTTAATAGTCATTGTGTCTACACTACAACTACAAGCAATGACTGAGTGCAATGAAATGGGTCAAATGAAATGCTTTACCAAGTAAAAGTTGTTAAACCACCATGCAAGGCCACAGGAGAGAAACTGGTATGAACTATTGATATGAACCTGTCACAAAGCTCTGCTGCACAAGATTATAATCACCCAGGAGGTACTTGGAGCCCAGGCGCCGCAGGTTGCGGAACTGTAGGTAGATGTACATCACAGCAAGGCAACGTGTAATGGAGAGAATGATCATATCAGAGCTCTTCCAGTCCTGAAAACAGACAGAATTAGTTCTGTGACAACACTGCTTGTAATGTTTTTTGTTAAGATACAAACATACAAACTCCTATTGCCACCATTACCATAACACAGTAAAGCAGTAAAGCAGTGACCATGTAAGGGGAAATAACTGCATGCTATTGGATCGCAATATTAGGAATTTAAAAAATAATAATTTAAAATGGCAATAAAAACGAAACGTGTGGCAGACTTTTGATGATGCAGGCAATGCCTGAGAACCAAGACACATAGATCTTGCAGATTTATCTACGGTCAGGGGGTGCTTATTACTATTTGAGATGCTGCTTGATAAGGTAAATACTGTAGTATTGTTTACCATTACCTCTTCATTGTGGCAGTTGTAGTTCCAGCCACAGATCTTATTGCTGCCAGTGAAGACACTCATGGACATGAGGCATAGTGTTGTGGTCACTGTGCCGATGATCACTTCCCATGGGTGAGAGGCACAGAAGTGCCCATGTACTTTGAACACACGAGACAGCATCACAGAGCTTGTGGGAACAATTGGAGAAAAAGGAAGAAGCTGCAAAAGAAAAAGAATCAGCATGATAAGCTTTTAAATAATAAGTAATGCCAAACCAAGTGTCACTAACATGATGAATGTTGAACAAACTCCAAATCTTAGGAGTTTTCATTTCAATTTTGTTTTTTAGTTATTTCAAGTCACATAGGGTCAGAACTTAACACTAGCCTATACAGTGGATAGTACTTTCCATTATTTACCTTCATATTAGAGCTTCATAAAAATTAAAGTTCAAGTTCACAGGTCTTTAACATGTTTATCAATTAATGATTTAGTTGAGGGATTAGAAAAGTGAAGTTAACACGGATACGTTATTGTATTGATATTTAAAAATTAGTATCGATATATGCTACAGTACCAACAAAGGGAAAGTCGGATTAACGAATGAATTAAAAAGAAATGTGATGCATACCAATGCAACAATCTGAAATGGGCATGTATGATTTCACATCATTGATAAATTTATTTGATATACCAAAAATCATCATAATAGGTGTTTATCTTTCTAATTACAGCAATAAGAGAGTCGTGTGTTTTTTTAAAGCCTTCACCTAAATATCATAGTGTTGATCGAAAACTGAACACTGTTAAATCACTAACGTACCGATAAGAGAAAAGTGTCTTCTTCCAACGTGGTTGTGCTTGTGGTTAAGGTATAGTTTCCTTCTCTTTGAGGCGCGTATATGACATCGTGAAAGTGTCAAGAATTTACGTGATCATCGTTAGTTATACAATAATTAGAGAGTGATTCCATTTTTGAAGGTCTTGCTTCATGTCAAAATGGACGCATGTACAATATACTACTTTCTACGTTACAGATAACATATCTAATGAAGGAAGTGATATATTAAAGGTATATCAACTAAAGATGAAAACAATGTCACATGAAAGAAGTTTTGTTTTATTTCGGAAGATGGATATAACCACAAAGATACAACACCCTGTTAAATTTGAAACAATGCTTGATGTAGTTCATACACATAAGATATGTTTATAAGATGGTAGTATTTGATAGATTCTTACTTGCAGTTGTTTCCCTTCGATGATCCGTTTGTTTCTTGTTGGCAAGATGAACAAGACACTGTATTTTGATTATGACTTAAAATAAATTTGATGGGATAACTGGGAAGACAAACCCTTAGGGTTTCAGAAATACAAGCCATGTTAACGCACTCGGGTTCGTTACACGTGTTTCTATTTGCGTATGATGGCGGTGTGGATCTATTTATAGAGTATGGTTTGTCCAATGGGTTTGTACGCTAAAAATAGAGTGTGTTTAGGGATCAACATCTGACATTACCAACACCCTGATGACTCCGAATAGAAATGAATCATATATGTTGAAAATTGTTGATTGCACAAAATATATATTTTTCACAATTCATGTATCCTAAGATGCTTTAAAATATGTTATGTTCAGATACGTTCAGCTAGCATACTATCAAAACTATGAATAAACACTCGACATACGATATATGAAACAAATACGATTAAATCCTCTACGACGCAAAAGCGTAATATAAATTAAATATTAACCCCTGCTCAGCGTCTAACAACAGCCCCTTATAAATTGAATTATTCATCAAATCCATCAAAGATCATATTACAGGTATGTCGACATTTATCCACGCATCATATTTAATGACTAATTAATTAGAACAGAACGAAATGCTATTCAATTGTTTGTTGCTTAACGCCGCTTATAGCAATGTTCCAGCTATATATATGACGGCGGCTTAATTGTGATGGTTAATCGAGTCAGGACCAGACAGTCCAGTGATTGACACCATGAGCACCAATCTTCAATACGATGACATGCAAACAAGCATTTTAAGTCACCGAGCCTGACTATCCGATCCATTTAGTCCAGTGTCAATAAACTAAACGAACAACATAATGCAATGGGACGTGTGTAGACATACAAAAAGCAGTTGATACATGAAAAAGAAGACGATTTTTTTGTACATTTCTTGGAAGGTGTAAAAACAAGACAAAAATACCGATCAGGTTTGTAAATATGTATTGTAAAACAGCTAATAATTAGTTTTAAAACTTTATGAAAACACCATACCCGTGTAAACAACTATATGATGATGATTAGTAATTTTATTCCTGACTGCAGTGGTTTGAGAGATTCCGTTTCAAATCAGCTTGAAGCCTGCTCGAAATAAAATCACCAGGTAATCAATACTCACGTTTAAAGCGGTTCCGATCGCTCTTGATTTCATTCGACGTATCATTTAGTTACAAAAGCATGCTTTCAAAAGTGCCAAATGTTTGTTTTCCCAACGTGTCAAATGTTTATATTTTCGAAAGCATAAAACACTTACTTGGTGCAATAACAGATTATCGGTTGTTATGAATGACAGAGCCACGCGAGTGGCCTCATCTATCGTCAGACTATTTCCTCGACGCTGATTGGCTGATTCCGGGCGGTCAGAGGTTATACACCAGCCCACATGAGGAGACCCACAGAACGGAAAGCCTTACGCGTTTGTGTGTGTGTTTAAGAAACAGTGCCCATGATTCATTGTTAAACCGGCTTAAGTTTGAAATAGACTGATTAAGCAGCAAGGTATTCCACAAAATAATATTTAACCGGGATAGATTAATACATAATACTTTCAAAAACAACAACTGTGCTTTAATAATATAATATCCCTTCCAACGCAATAGAAGGATCCATCCACTAACATCAAAGTTATTTTTCAGATGAAAAAAACCTGTAGAAAGTAAGTCAACTTTGTGAAAACAACAATTGCAAGCATATAATTTTCTCAAAAGACTAGATACTATCTAATATATAGATAAGACTGAAAAATATGAAATATTAGAAAATATTCAGATAAAAGTATTTAGAAACATGTAAGTCGTTCTCAGTAGTCTGAGACTATGGCGACTATGCTTGTCGTAAGAGGCGACTATGCTTGTCGTAAGAGGCGACTAACGGGATCGGGTTGTCAGGCTTGCTGACTTTGTTGCATGTAATCGTATCCCAATTGCGTGGATCGATGCTCATGAAGTCAATCACTGTATTGCCTGGTTTAGTCTCGATTATTTACAAACCACCGTCATATAGCTGGAATATTGCTGAGTGCGGCGTTAAACAAAAAAAATATAAATAAATTAATAATCAATGTATTCACAGCCAGCTTAATGTCTTTTTCACAGCTTACATATGCAGATATTCCTCACTAACACTGGTAATGTATTTCTGTTAATTATGTGTCAAACAAGTCATAACATTTCACACCAATGCACGTTCATTCACACCTATATACATCTCCCAATATATCCGTGCTGCCACCATTCGAAGAGGGGTCATTCTCAGACTGTATGTCTACATATAGAAACAGGTGCATTGCATGCAAGTGAGATATTTTCTCTCATCTAATCACCGATTTAGACGTGTGAAACATCATTTTTATCTTTTACCAAACACTGTAGTATATTTTTGCATCGTCAGTGAGATAACTTCTCAGGTACAGACAACTAGCCCGTGTCTTTAAATGTGTACTTGTATGTATATTGCGGTCGCGTATTCAGAGTCGGCAAGCAATATACAACCCCAACACTATGGGCTGATGTATGACACATGTCTGTATACCACACCGTATACCACACCTTGAGAAATAACAGTGTCACGTCGAAAGTTACAGGCACATTAGAAACACCACGTGTAGTACATGGTGATGTATTGAAATGAGATTCGCTAACGGAATGTTGGGTGACAACTAAATGTTGATCGGGTGGTTACAAAGGAGGTCGGGTGGATACAATGGAGGCCGGATGGGTACAATGGCGTTCTTTTGAGTACAATGGAGATTGGGTGGGTACAGTGGAGGCCGGTTGGGTACAATGGAGGCCTAGTGGGTACAATAGAGGCCAGGTGGGTACAATGGAGTTCTTTTGAGTACAATGGAGGCCGGTTGGGTACAATGGAGGCCGGGTGGGTACAATGGAGTTCTTTTGAGTACAATGGAGGCCGGTTGGGTACAATGGAGGCCTGGTGGGTACAATGGAGATCTTTTGTATACAATGGAGGCCTGGTGGGTACAATGGAGATCTTTTGAGTACAATGGAGGCCTGGTGGGTACAATGGAGGCCGGGTGGATACAATGGAGACCGGGTGGGTACAATGGAGTTCTTTTGAGTACAATGGAGATCGGGTGGGTACAATGGAGGCTGGGTGGGTACAATGGAGGCCTGGTGGATACAATGGAGGCCTGGTGGGTACAATGGAGGCCTGGTGGGTACAATTGAGATCATTTGAGTACAATGGAGGCCTGGTGGGTACAATTGAGATCATTTGAGTACAATGGAGGCCTGGTGGGTACGATGGAGGCCTGGTGGGTACAATGGAGATCTTTTGAGTACAATGGAGGCCTGGTGGGTACAATGGAGATCTTTTGAGTACAATGGAGGCCTGGTGGATACGATGGAGGCCTGGTGGGTACAATGGAGATCTTTTGAGTACAATGGAGGCCTAGTTGGTACAATGGAGGCCTGGTGGGTGCAGTGGAGATCTTTTGAGTACAATGGAGGCCTGGTGGGTACAATGGAGGCCGGATGGGTGCAATGGAGATCTTGTGAGTACAATGGAGACCGGGTGGGTACAATGGAGTTCTTTTGAGTACAATGGAGATCGGATGGGTACAGTGGAGGCCGGGTGGGTACAATGGAGGCCTGGTGGGTACAATGGAAATCGATTGGATATAATGGAGGCCGGGTGGGTACAATGGAGACCGGGTGGATACAATAAAGGCCAAGTGGGTGCAGTGGAGATCTTGTGAGTACAATGGATGCCGGATGGTTACAATGGAGGCCTGGTCGGTGCAATGGAGATCTTGTGCGTACAATTGAGGCCTGGTGGATGCAATGGAGGCCTCGTGGATGTAATGGAGATCTTATGAGTAGAATGGAGGCCGGGTGGACACAATGGAGGCCGGGTGGACACAATGGAGATCTTGTGTGTACAATGGAGGCCTGATCGGTACAATGGAGGCTTGGTCGGTAGAGCTACCTTCTTAAACAACAGAGCTACCTCCCTTAACAACATAGCTACCTCCCTTAACAACATAGCTACCTCCCTTACATCAGAGCTACCTCCCTTAACAATATACCCCACTCCCTTAAGAACATAGGAACCTCCCTTTCAACATAGCTACCTCCCTTACAGCAAAGGTACCTCCCTTACAACATAGATACCTGCCTTGACAACGTAGCTACCTCCTAACAACATAGATACCCCCCTTACAACAAAGCTACCTCCCTTACAACATAACTACCTGCCTTAACAACAGAGCTACCACCTTGCCTAGGGAAGATTCCCCATAACAACAGAGACAACCCCAATTAAGAGGTAACTCTCTAACAACAGAGACAACCCCAATTAACAGAGATAACTCCCTAACAACAGAGATACACCCTAGCAACGAAGACTTCCCTTAACAACAGAGATATTTCCCCTAAAACAGAGATACCTCCCTTTGCAACATAACTACCTCACCCAACATCAGGGCTACCTCCACAACAACAGAGATATCTCCATGACAAAGGAGATGCCCCCTAATCGGATGCGTCAATCCCTCGTGACAGAGCAGTGGACAATCGCTACAAAAGGTTGTTGGATATATAAAAAAACCGTTACCTTCGATCGTTTCCCCCGTGTTCTGTTCGCAGTAATAAATTCAGATCCGACACTCATTTTGAAAGAATCAGCTGCCTTGCTTTGTTGAGTGCATGGTCTATTGTGTACTGATATGATTATAAATATGTCTATGGCTCCG